GAGGAGAAACACGGCATAACAAATCGAAGGTGCACGCAAGAAAACTGTAGAAAATTACTTTCGTCCATTGTTACTGTATACGTTACCCTCATAGCTGTAGCCTTTAGTAAGATACGTGTTATGAAGGCCAAGAAAGCAAGCGTGCCTGGAAAAGAAGGAGCACGCCCGAAAGAAATCCACGGGAAGACCACAGTACACTGTTTATCTAAGAACTTTGGTGAGCGAATAGCTGCAGAAATGGAAGAGATGCAAAACACTGCTGACATCGAAAAAAGATCGCATTTTTGACTACCGCTTTTAACCATCGCCCGATCTGTTGTTAGTACATTCGAGTCGACACGGGCAAGGAGAATGCTGACTTCAATGTCGATCAGTTCTCACAGCTACGTAAGTGGCACGAAGTTGCAAAATATTTTTGTTTCTGCCATTTATTGGCGTGCAAGAAGACCGTGAATTCAGTGAGGTACATTGCTGTGCTGTACGCTCTTCGGAATCGTAGCGTACCGACGCTAAGGTAAATGAAACACATATTTTCGCAATCGCGCTTATTGCATAGTCGCTGCAGAATTTGTCAGAAGAGCCTCGGTTCAGTGCGAAGGAAAGGAATCCAAACCCTGAAAAGGCGTGTTTCCTTGAGTTCGAAATGGGACTAGAGGGTGCGGATAGCTGTGCTTACTTACTTTGGTACGAAGCGACGTAGGAAGGAAGGTAAAATGGACGGCTTCAGGTTACGTCTTTTTGAAGAGTGGCAAAACAGGTGCTGTGTAAGTGACAGGATTGTATCTGATGCAAAATCAGCAATCAGCTAGGCAGTCTCTCACTTTCATGTCAAACCGAGACTGAACAGACTTTGAGAAACTGCACCGGATGTCTTAGGCCCCAAAGCTGCTATTTTCGCATCGAGTAATAAATAATTGCCAGCGCGCCGACTTCGGGTGCGAAAATGCGTTTTTTACAAAGTTCCCCGCAGGTTTTTGCCGCTGATGGCACTGCTTTTCCGGCAGATTCTTCAAGCTAAAAGAATTGAGGCTGGCCGCCAGGACTTCCGAGAAACATCCCCTTAAATTTTCAGCTTTTTAGCTTTCCTGGTCCCGAGACAGCAAATTACCCGCAAAAAATTTTCACGGACCCGTACTTGAGAACTGCGCATACCGGGGGGCTAGGTTTGAATTCATTAAGTTCTACGTGGGCGGGAATATCCCCTTGAAATTTCAGCTTTCTAGCTTTTCTAGTTCCCGAGTTAACAGCTTACCGCCACAAATTTTGACAGTCTCCTACATGCAAACCACGTGGGTAAGAGCGCCCATTTTGGGGATGGAGGGCCTATATGCGCATGTAGATTAATCCCCTAAGGTTTCAGCCTCGTAGGTTTTGTAGATCTCGAGATAAAAAATCGATTCAGGCGGACACACAGACACACACAAACAACCCCTGGACAATATGTGTTTTTGTATTGCGTAGATGCAAAAAAAAGAAAAAAAAAAAAA